GAGGTGTCCGGATCCGAATCCGGATAGTAAAATCTCGGGATCCATATTTTTAAAAATATATTAATTTTTCTTATTTTATTATTAATTATATATGATATATTAATATTTATATATAAAATAAGTTTATAATATTCTATTTTAATATTAATAATATTACATGTCATATATATATATTCAGAAATTATGCATAAATATTTAATTTATGTATTATATTTTAAAAATGATTTTTTTTTTAATTTTTTTAGTTATTTTTATGGATACGAATCCGAATCCGGATATCCGCAGATATCACAATATTTAGACGGATATCCGAGTCCAAATATCCGGAAGACACGAATATAAATCTGGATATTAAAATCACGGAACCGACGAATCCGGATCCGGATATTTCAAATTTCCAGGATATCCGGATCCGTCCCCCAGACCTATTGTAAGCATATAGATATGCACGTCCGATGAAGAAAATAAACAGAACAATTCAGTATATTCACAAATCTTACAGATATCCTATTGGGTTGTTTTGCATTGACAATTATATAGTTTATAATTAAACTTCCTTTTTAGTGTATGGAAAGAGTGACTGAACGTTTGATGAATAATGATTTTTCACATCCTCTCTTTGTTTGGGAACCTAGGTACACGTCCCCTGGCCATAGCAGAAAAAGTAGTAACAGACCAGCGGATTCAGTTCCTACATAGCCTGCGGAGGACCGAACTGGCTACTCCATATCCTCCAACAGGAACCGCGAGCTTCTTGATGCTCCAAGCGCGACAAGTGGCCTTTGGTTGAGCTCCTCTATCGCTCTGCTTTTTCCTCTGTTTTCTGTTGTTTAATTTTGTTCTGGGCCTCAATACCCAAACTTCTGCCTTTTTTGGCGACCGATCCTCAATTGAATACAATTTCAGTTTGTGCATAGCGATAGTTTAGCCTTTTTGTCGTCAAATTTCAAATCTTTGTAGGCTGTGGAAGTGTGAATCAAATCTTATAGAGAAAATCAAAAGATACTTTCAAGCTTCAACGTTTTAGGGATAAAAGGTTCCTTTTAAAGGAAAAAACTTCTAACCACAATAGAAATAGGAAACTTCCGCCAAGTTGCATCAGAAAAGTCTGAGAACTAATATGTTTGTGTAAGTCAACAAATAAGAAACTTCCGCCAAGTTGCATCAGAAAAATAATGGTGAAATTGCTATACTACGTTGTATACTTGTAAGTTTTAACATTATTCCTTAAAATTAGTTTGGTCCTCTTCTGATTTTGGAAATCACAATGTCTGATTATCCAGTTTATCATTATCTCTCTTCATTTACTATATATTTGCCTGGTTTAGCTATTTCGGATTATCTACCGATTCATTTGTCTTTTTCTCTTTTCACACGATATTTAAATCTCTCTGGAAAACAAAATAATAGGCTTTCACACGTAAACATTTATCCATTTCAATCTTTTGTCTTTATCAGCTTCAACCACTGAATCTCTTTTCTAGAGTTAATCATTCTTCCTCCTCCATCTTCTCTTGAGCTTTGACTTACCGATCTTCAGATCCTTATTGGATCTCCCTCTCTCTCTCTCTCTCACTCTCCCTCTCTCTTTGTCTCAATGGCTGTCGTCTTATCTTCCTCTTCTCGCACTTGGGTGTATGATGTTTTCCCGAGCTTCAGTGGAGAAGACGTCCGTGTTACTTTCCTCAGCCACTTTCTAAAGGAGCTTGACCGGAAACTGATCATTGCTTTCAAAGACAACGAGATCCAGAGAAGCCTATCACTTGATCCTGAGCTTAAACAAGCCATTAGAGATTCGAGGATCGCCGTGGTTATCTTCTCTGAAAAGTACGCATCTTCAAGCTGGTGTCTTAATGAGTTGCTGGAGATAGTCAAGTGCAGGGAAGAGTGTGGTCAAATGGTGATACCTATTTTCTACAGTTTGGATCCTTCCCATGTGAGGAAACAAACCGGTGACTTTGGTAAGATCTTTGAAGAAACCTGCAAGACTAAAACAGAGCAAGAGATAATTCAATGGAGGAGAGCTTTGACCGATGTAGCTAATATCCTCGGGTATCATTCTGTAAACTGGTACAGTTTTATGAAACCTTCATACTTGAATAAATGTTTTTTACATGTGTATGAAATTTTAGTTCTCATTGCTAGATTGTGAAATTACCTTTCTTGTTGTTAGGGACAACGAAGCTACAATGATTGAAGAAATTGCCAATGATGTTTTGGAGAAACTGCTTTTAACTCCATTAAAGGATTCTGACGACTTTGTTGGTATTGAAGATCATATCGCAAAATTGAGTGTGTTGTTGCAGTTGGAAGCTGAGGAAGTGAGGATGGTTGGTTTATGGGGTTCCTCAGGGATTGGCAAAACTACTATTGCAAGAGTTCTGTTTCAACGACTTTCTCGACACTTTCAAGTCCGAATTTTCATTGACAGGGCTTTCTTATCTAAGAGTACTGAAATGTACTGTACAGCCAACCCAGACGACTACAACATGAAGTTGCATTTACAGTCGAGATTCCTATCAAAAATTCTAGGGAAAAAGGACATAGAGATAAGTCAGTTAGGTGAATTAGGAGAGAGGCTAAAGCATCAGAAAGTTCTTATTTTCATTGATGATTTCAGTGATCAAGTGGTGCTGGATGCTTTGGTTGGTCAAACTCAATGGTTTGGAAATGGGAGCAGAATCATTGTGGTTACAAATGATAAGCATTTCTTAAGGTGCCATGGGATTGATCACATTTACGAGGTATGTCTCCCATCTGAAGACCTCTCTCGAGAAATGTTATGTCGATCTGCTTTCAGGAAAAATGCTGCACCTGAAGGCTTTGACGAGCTTGTAAATAAAGTTGCAAGACTTGCGGGTAGTCTTCCTTTAGCTCTTAATGTTTTGGGTTCATCTTTACGGGGGAGAGATATGGAGTACTGGATAGATTTGTTGCCACGGCTTCAGAATGGTGTAGATGGGAAAATTGAAAAAACATTAAGAGTCAGCTATGATGGATTGAGTAGCGACAAAGACAAAGCAACGTTTCTCCATATCGCATGTCTTTTCAATGGTGAAAAAGTCACATACCTGAAGTTGTTGCTTGCAGATAGTGGCTTGAATGTTAATGTGGGGTTGAAAAACCTAGCTGATAAGTCCCTCATTCATGTAAGAGAGGATTATGTGGAGATGCACTGTTTGTTAGAAAAGATGGGTAGAAGTATTGTTAGGCTTGGCAAGCCTGAAAAACGAGAATTCTTGGTGGACTCACAAGATATTTGTGATGTACTCAGTGAAGGCATTGTAAGTTATCTCTTATCTCTTATATCCGTCCTTCTTTCAGTATATAAGATTAATAGAAATTGCACTCTATAGCCAAACAAATTACCTAAATTAAGTAAGTAGCTAAAATCTTCTTCTCTCTCTTCCTATCTCTCTCTACTCTCACTCTAAAAATCTAATTTTGTTTTTTTTTGCTATTTCACAAATTCTCCTAAGATTAAACTAGACCTTGACGGGTATTGTTTTATTTTTATGAATAATTTTTTGTTTTGTATAACTAATATAGTATATATTTATACTTTCTTGTATTATCTAATTCTCTAATATGGAATTTCAATACATAATATTTAAGGAAAATTGTTTTTAGTTTATTTTTGTTTATGTGTGTATTTTTCCATAAACTTAAAATATACTTACGAAAATAGTATTTAAGATTTTATGATAGTTTTTTGTTATTGTAAATGATAAATATATTTAAATTTCCACCCATTATATAAGAAATTATATATTTCTAACTTTCAATTTCGAAACCCCTTATGTAAATACTCACAATGCATTTTTATAAATATTTATATTAAACTTGTTAAAATTAGTAATTTGTTAGAATTTCCTAATTTGTATTTCTTGTATTTCTATTATGATAAAATTAAGTTGATCTTCGTTTATTGACTTTAATAGTTTTTGTCATCAGCATAAACATATCCGATTAAGACTATAACATTTTATTAGATGTAGAATTTTATTTGATATGAACTTATTTTATTACTAGAACATTGTTATCTGGTATTAATATCTTCTTTACATAGTTATTAGGTGTTTTGCCCGCACATGCGGGCTTAATTATCTTTAAATCAATTTAAAAAATCATCTAAATAAATGATTATTTGCATCCAAAAAATTTAACCTAAAATATTAATTTTTTTTTACATGATAAATTTATTCACAAATTAAAATAAATCTACTTCTTCCTTTTAAGCTTTAAAAAATCTAGTCTATTTCCTTTCTTCTTAATTGATAAAAATATAGAAATTTTTCTTTCAATTTGAAAAATTGAATCAAGAAATATACATTCAAAAATTGATCTTACAGAAAGAATAATATTAGTTTGGATAATAATACAATATATAAAATTTATTTTTGTCAAATACGTGTTTTCTTTCTTTCTGAATGATCTTTTATTTTATTATGATTAATTCATGTTTAAGGTTTAATTATATAAAATATAACAAAAAAAAATTAATTTAACGTGTGAGTCCAGAGGCGGAAATAACTTCACAAATATATATCAATATATTATATTATTATATTCTTTTAATTTAAAAATAATTACGAATTATAATTTTTTAATTTTCTATTTTCAATTATATACAATTAAAAATTTTACATTGTGAATATTTATTTATGTGTTTTCTGCTTTTGAATTTTTTGACTAGATATATTTTTTTGGATAACAACACAATATATATATGAATTATATTTTTTATTTTTAAATATATATTTAGATTATGGATAATTCTTATCATTGTTAGTAATTTAAATCATTTATCTAATCAAATAAATATTAAATTCGTTTTTATTATTGGATAATCTATATATTTATTCATTAAGGGTATAAACGATATTAACCACTCTAACTTTTAACGTGAGAGCTCCGTTGCGAAAAATCACTTCGCAAATAATAGTATAGATATAGTATAAATATAACTATATATCTAAAAAATATCGTCAATTAGATAAATGAGTCAGATTGGATATTTGAAAGATTTAGTTAGGTACAAATCTTGGAATTATCAAGTAAAAGAGATCTTCTAAAAACTCATTATTAGGTTTTTAGATTAAACTATTTTTGAAAATTCAACATCTTTAAATTTTCAAAAATTGTTAACTGGTTTCATTAACACTAGATTATACAATTGCATTCATTTATGGAAGCTTGCGGATTCAATATACCATATGATAATTATCCATTAGAAGAAAAATGATCATATGGTTGTATATGTGGTTTACTAAAGATAAGTTTTTCATGTATAACAAATAAATATAGAATGTAAATATTATCCTATGTGAAATATGAGAGTAACGTGTATGAGAATACTCTTTTCAATAATCTCCTATATAACAAGATATTCACTAACATAAAAAACCTTCAAAGTGACATTCACTAGCATTTTAAACCTTGAACTTATTTAACTAACATATTAAACATTCAACTTGACATTTGTATCACAAAAAACCTTCAACTTGGCTTACTTGTTCGTCAAGTTAGAATTGTGACTTGTTAACCTACAATAGTAGGTCACATGTTGTTTTTTTTTTGTTTTTTAATTAATAATTACAATTAACAATAAAAAAACTAAATAAAATTAGAAAATTACAGAAAAAATTCTATAATTGAATTTAATAAAAATAAAAATATTTTCTCAAAACGTCAAAGTTTTAAATTGAAAATTTTGCAAATTCAAAACTTTAAAAAAAAAATCATCTAAAAACTATTAAATATTATCACAAAATTTTTTTTTTAAACACTATCACCATTAACTTGAACACTCTTTGTCATATCATTATTAAGAATAACATATTTGGTTATATCGCTAATGACAATAGTGTCAAAATCATTGTTATTTTTACATAAGAAATTATCATCGTTAAAGATATCAACAAAATTAAACGTTTAAAACTTACAAAACATTATTATCAATTCTGATATGACGAAAAGTGCTTCTTTTACTAGTGGTATATCCACACTGTTTATTTTGGAATAACATTTTAAAGCATTTGCCTTATAAGCTTTTTAAATGTTTAGTTAACAATAATAGCATAAAAATAAATATGAGTTAGAGGTTATCTTTGATATTGAAAAAGTTGTATTAAGAGTTAAAATGTTCATATCGAAATCATCGTACAGTTGTCGTTTTTTATTAACAAAATAAAAAAAAAACTATCAAGGTATTAAATTATTAGTAAGATACATTAATATAATTATGGGGAGAATAAAATTGCTTTAGTTGCTATTAATAGGACCATTAATAATAGTGTCGTATGGTTAGAGAAAATAAAGGGGAAGACCAAAATATTAAAAAAAAAGTCTAAAAAACTTTCATAGATAGATTTTAATAGTATTGATATAGTTTATAAAAAATATACACTCATATATCACAAAATTTCATTTAGAATAAAAATAAAACACTTGTAAATTCTTAAGAAAATATTTTGATTTTTTTTTTTAAATTAAGATTTTTGATTTTTTCTGTACTTTAAAACAAATATTTTTGAAAAATTACACGTTAAAAAAATAAAATTCTAAGAAGATATTTTAGTTTTTATTAAATTCATTTTTAGATTTTTTTCTGTAATTTTCTAATTTTATTTAGTTTTTTTTTATTGTTAATTGTATTTATTAATTAAATAAAATAAAAAACAACATGTGACCTACTATTGTAGGTTAACAAGTCACAATTTTAACTTGACGAACAAGTAAGCCAAGTTAAAGGTTTTTTGTGATACAAATGTCAAGAATGTTCAATATGCTAGTTAAATAAGTTTAAGGTTTAAAGTGCTAATGAGTGCCACTTCGAAGGTTTTTTACGATATTTTCCCCATTAATAAGTGGTACGTTGAACACAAAAACATAATATGTTATATAGTCATGCATTTCGTTAACATATATAGTCGGTGGCGGAGCCAAAACTTTTTGTACTAGAATCAAAAAAAGTCTAGTGGAGACAAATTTTCATTTTTAGTGGGATAATACAATTTTTTTTAAGCAAAAATAAATATTTTACAATTTTTTAAGTAAATCTATACTATTAAAACAGGAACCCTTTTATGAAATTACCCCTACTCTTCCCTGGTATATTACTTTTTTTGCCATCAATTTTGCTTTGAAATTTAGGTGTCTAGAAGGGTAATACGGGAAATAAAAAAAGACCACTAGAGAGTCCCAAAAATCACGCATCATATTATTTTATTCCATAACATTTATATTTTTCTTCTTTAATGCTATACTAATCAATTAAACTAATATTATTCCTATCAAATTCACATAAACTTCTCACAATATTAATATTTTTCACAACCAACGGATGACCAAATAACATTATTATTTCCTTCTTTAATGCTATACAAAGTAAACCAATATTGTTTCTATCTTCTGCTAACAAAATATAACAATGCAGTATTATTTTAATGTTACATACATTAATGAAACTAACATAAAGTTTGTCTATCAGTTATATATTTTATCCTCCTCGATTATAAATCCGATTCATACAAAATAGAAGAACCTGCAAACTGAAATTTAGTCCATGTATGATTTGTTTTTATTCTTCTGTTTTGGTATGAATACCTTTTTCTATAGAAAACACCAATCAAACAAGATGATTAACTTTTGTGAACATATCCATCAGTGCTTACCTTACATATGATGTGTGATATCTTATACTACCTAACCAAACCCTAAATCCTATTTTTTCTGGACTCCAAAACCAATATATCCATCGATGCTTATCCTACATATTAGTTGATATACACCTCTAAAATACAAAAAAAAATGTTATAATCCGTGTAACAATACAATATCCCATTTCACAAAAATTTTCAACTAATCGAGAAGAAAAGTATATTCCAAATTAAATTCTAACAAAATCATAAACAGCCTACATAAAAAGCGGACACCATAACAACATCAGTACCAAATAACTATTTTCACTTAGTTAGATAATAGGATATACCTTATTATCATCGTATCACAATATCTTCCCTCCTAACTAATATAATCTACACAGATTTTCGTTATCATTCTATGATTGAAAATTATACCAAAACAATCCGAATATTCTTTTTTCACTGTCATTTCTAAGCTATATATAAAAGCCGTAGTATTTCAGTAATCTTCTCAAACAAAAAATTATTTCCCCTCTTCGAAAATGAGTAAAATGCAGAAAATTTCTTACCTTTCCCAGTTGAGATCTTCCAGAACTGATTGGTCTATTCAACTGAAAGTAATCCACACCTGGAAGCAAACAAACACTGCTTTTGGTGAAACCCTTGAAATCATTTTTGCTGATAAGAAGGTAGACTGAAATCATTTGTTTGTACATTGAGTTTTATAAGCAAGCTATTATCATGTGTTTCTAATGTAGATACACATTTATTTTGCAGGGTGATAAGATCGTTGCAACATGTAAACATTCCTATATGAAAAGTTTGGGGAGCAAATGTGTTGTTGGTGAGTGGAAGAACATTACTAACTTCGCTGTGACAGACGCCAAGGGTCATTACCGACCAACAAAACACGCCAAAAAGATTACCTTTATCAATTTCACCAAGATTTCCGAGTGTGATTACCACAACAAAGATATGTATCTATCTTTGATGGAATTTGAAACTGTTTTGAGTGGAAAAGCTAATTCGGATTTCTTGATTGGTAATATTCATTATATAAATAGAAATATCGTTTTTATTGTTCTTAATATTTGATTAGGTAAGATATCAACTTTTTTTTGTAGATGTTATTGGCCAAGCCTTGGATGTTGGAGAGCTACAAATTATCCAACGTCAAAATGGAGCGAGTTTGAAGAAGATAGAATTCACACTGCGGAACTTAAAGTAAGTGTGTTTATTATACTAATCAAGTTCGAATAAATAAAGAGTACAATATATTAATGTTATTTTGAATTTTTTTTTGTATATAGTGATGAGCGCCTTGCATGTTGTCTTTGGGGTAAATTTGCTGAAATGATGGAACCCTATGGTGAAGAATCACAAATGGGTGTTGTTGTCTGTATGATCAGGTTTGCTAAGATAGGATCATTTAAAGGTAAACAAATAAGCATATAAGCAGTTATACATGTGATTTTTTTTTTTTATTGCTAACATGGGTTGTTTCAGGAATTCTCCAAATTTCCAGTGCATATGATACTTCAGAAGTTGTTATAAATCCAGCAATACAAGAAGCATATGATCTGAAAGAAGCGTACGTATCACTATGGGACTTAAATATTTAATTAAATTAATAATATAGACTATGTTTTTGTCATTTAAAACAGGTTTAAATTTGAAGATTCATCACTGTCTATTGTTGAATCAAACCATGATGATCATCAGTTGGCCAAAGCTGATAACAAAATGAAGGTTGACAAATGGAATGAGTATGAAGATAAGACCATTGTCGAAATGTTGAAATCAACTCAGGTATTTTGAAACTGTTTTTTGATTATGGCATTGTGACGATAATCTGACTAATATGATGTTTGTATCCCACGTTGTTATTATAATGAAGCTAAACTTATGTTTATATTTTGATTATGATATTTTCAGATTGAAAAATGCAAGATTGTAGCTACAATCTATGCTGTTGATACAGATTATGGGTGGTATTATTGGGGTTGTGATGTTTGCAACCATAGAACCTTCAGGGATGGAGCAACTTTCTGGTGTGAGAAATGCGACCGGATTGTCACGAATGTTTCACCAAAGTATGTTTCACAAAAAACTATTAAAATATTTTATTATAAGAGTTAATATCAGCTGAACTATGAATGTGTTTGTCTATAAAAGGTTTAAACTTCATTTAATGCTTAAAGATGATACCGGATTAGCAAAATTTCTGATACTTGATACTATAGCAAACATGATCGTAAGGGAAAAGGCAACAAAGATTCTTAACGGTTCTTTGGATGAGGTAAACGATATATTTATAATTTAATCATTAAATTTTTGTTTGGTCGTTTTTTAACCGTTTATACTTATCAATGTCATGACTAGATCGAAGATCCTGAATTGTTGCCAACGTCAGTTAAGGATATTATTGGTAAAACTTTCAAGTTTGGTGTTGGCATTGAGAAAGAAAACATTGCTTATGGAGTAGAATCTTACAAAGTCCTAAAAGTTTGGTCTATGAACAATTTTCTAACGGGACGTGATACGTCAGATACCACATCAGCAAAGGAAACTACCTTGACCATTGGTGATGTGGTATGTTGTAATGCATTTATAATGTTTGAATATGTGCTTTAGTTCTTAACATAATTTGTTTTTGCTAGGGATCTCAGATGACTGAAGGGGAAGAAAGCTCAAGTTTATTTAATACACCTTCGTCAAAACGGTCACAAGATGAACGAGATGATGTTCCCGAGCTTACTTCTACATCAAAGAAGGTGTGTTTAAAAACTATCAAGATTGAAACGATTTCAGAAGAGGAGATTAAGAATGACCGTTTCGAAGAGGAGATTTAGAAGAACAAGAAGTACTAGCAAGCACATGCGTCTTTATTAAAGTTTTATTTATGTCTTCTTAATAATAGATTTTCAAAAATCTTTGCATTTGTTATGAAATAATAAATTACCCTTGAATTTTATATTTTGTTTCGGCCAAAGTAAATAAACACCAATAGAGCACCGATTATGTGCTCTACTGAATATTTGAAGTCAGTTCCTAACTACCAATAGAGTCTCCAACGTTGTTTCCTAACTACCATTGTAGGTTCAACTTCTACTGAATGTAATGTGAAACATTAAAACTTACTTGATTCTGAAAAATGTTGCCGAAAATGAAAGATCCATGACCTTCAAATGAATATTTGAAGTAAATATGACATCTCGCTGCCTGCAATAAATATCATGTACGTGGTTTGGTATATTATGTATACTACAAAAGAAAATCTTAACAAGAGAATCTAAACAAAATATATTATTTGTACATGATATCATATATATAACTAGAAAAACACGTTCTCATCACAAAATATTTTAACCTATTCAGACGAAAATCAGCAGGATTCATGTTATTACTATGAAGAAGACAAAGAAAAACATCCTTGAGATGTCTGGCAATTTTCAACCATCCAAAGTGAAGAGGAAGATACATGAGACTGGAGATGATCATGAGAATTCACAATCAGTTATGCATAAAAATGGTACTAATATCGCAACTCCTTTGAAGGATAATCTAATACGCTCAGAAGTCTTAGATGATGTCACAAACATACCTCTGAAGCGTGTTTGTCATGGTGGTTCTGGATCGATAAACACACTATACGATTCTTCACAAGGTATCTTTTTCTGCAAAATTAGAACTTAGTAAATAGTCCATATCAATACTATTAAAGTACATGTTATATGTCAAACATAAATCTTTCTATGAACAGGTAATGGAAACTCTGCGAAGTATTATACTCCAAAGAGTAAACATGAACAGCCAGTTAATGGAAAAGCACGGAATTTGTCAACTCCAACAAGCAAAAGTCATTGCAAGCGTAAGTTACATATCAATGACCCGTGTTTTATATACCATTTTAAGTTTTTATATATGTAAAACTATCCTGTATATATCTCATAGCAAGTTTACTTATACTGTTTTGTATTGATTGAACTATTTACAAGCTACTATTAAAAAGAGAAAGAAACACGAAAGTGATGATATAAAGGGGAGCTCACTTTCAGTTAATGGAAAAGCACTGAATTTGCCAACTCCAACAAGCACAAGTCATTGCAAGCGTAAGTTACATAATATTGACCCGTGTTTTATATATCATTTTAAGTTTTTATATATGTAAAATTATCCTGTATATATCTAATGCAAGATTATTTATACTGTTTTGTATTGATTGAACTATTTACAAGCTACTATGAACAAGAGGAAGAAACACGAAAGTGGTGATATAAATGGGAGCTCACATTCATCGACGAATAGACAGGCAAATAACAGCACAATTTCTTTGAAATCTATATTTGGTAGAGTCTTGCAAGATGTGACAAACACACCTCTTACTAATGTGTGTGAGGCTGGTTCTGCTTCAATATCTCATATTGAGATAAGTCCAGGTATACGCATCTCAAATTGTATTTCAAATAGCAACATTTATGTAAATTTTTGTGTGATACTTAGTCTACTTCTGACAGATAGTGAAAAGTTACATATATCTTCAACTCCAAAGAAGAGCCGTATACACTCAGATGTTCCATGTATGTATATATTTCATTTGTAGTATTTTTGACAGCTAATCGGCTGATTATCTTATTTTTTATAATGCATGAGCTTTATAACATATTCCATTATAAACATTACAGCTATTGTGAGTTCTGAAAAAGGCTGCACATCCCAATATATTACTACAAAATCTACAGCTTTGAATGAAACTGAGATCTACCAACTATCAGAGGAAAATGATAATCATTCGGAAGATGGTAAGTTTTGTATATATATAAATATTTTGTTTTTATATTTTGGTATAACTTATATTAAATGTTTGTCATGTATTAGAAGGCTACGCTGAACAGATTTACGACTTCAGTAGTGAAGGAAGTGAGACGGAATCCGAGAAATCAGTTCATGCCCAAGAAGCACCAGTCAATTTGGAATCAGAGAAACAAAAAACTAAAATAAAGAATATGGCCGAAATGTTTAAAAACTTCTTTGGTGACATCGGA